AGCATTCTGCACTAGCTGCAGCTTCTGGATTTGTGACAAAGGCAGCCCCATGTAGAGAGTGTTACAGTAGTCTAGCCTCAAGGTGACCGTCGCATGGATCGCTGTGGCCAGGTCATCATGGTCAAGGAATGGAACCAACTGCCGAGCTAGCAGAAGATGATAAAAGGCCAACTTGGCAGTGGCTGCCATCTGGGCCTCCATTGTTAAGGAGGAGTCCAGGAGCACACCCAAACTCCTAACCTCTGACACTGGCACCAAAGGCACCCCATCGAAGGTCAGGAGGGGGAATCCAAACCCTGAACCAACCCGACTCAGGCCCAGGTTTAGTTTCAGCCGACTCAGTCTGAGCCAACCAGCCACAGCTTGCAACGCCTGATGAAGGTCATCTGGGCTGGAGTCCGACTGGCCGCCCAACATTAGATAGAGCTGGGTGTCATCTGCATATAGGTGACACCCAAGCCCACATCTCCGGGCAATCTGGGCAAGGGGGCGCATGTAGATGTTAAACAACATCGAGGACAGCACCACCCCCTGAGGCACCCTACAGTCTAGAGGATGCCTCTGGGACTGCTGATCCCCTATCGCCACCCTTTGTCCCCGACCTTGGAGGAAAGAGGCAAGCCATTGAAAGGCGAGCCCCTGAATCCCCACGTCAGCGAGGCGGTGGGCCAGCAACTGGTGGCCGACCATGTCGAACGTGGCCAACAGATCTAACAACAGTGCTGCCACCCCACCTCGATCCAGATGCCTTCAGAGGTCGTCAGTCAGGGTGACCAGCACTGTCTCCATCCCATGACCCGGGCAGAAGCCGGACTGGAAAGGATCTAGGATAGAAGCATCATCCAGGAAGCTCTGTAGCTGTAACGCCACCACCCTCTCAATAAGTTTGCCCAAATAGGGCAAATAAAGTTCCAAAGAACTAGAACAACTTCAGTTCAGGCCTTGGCTGCAGATTATGAGTTGTGTACTATGCTCTGAGTAGTAGCTGAAAACATGTAATGTCAATGGATTTCCAATATAAGGAGGTGTTTCTCCACCACACAGTTACATTGTGGCGTCCAGAAAGCGAACCTGTTATATGGTCTGGACTAGAACCAGCATTAACAGTAGAACAGAAGTGCTAATGTCCTGGAAGAAATACAGTGGCTATGGCAGACTCACACTCGGTAGCAACCTATTATAATACAGGCCCAATAGAGAGACAGGTCATCACTTATTTCTCTTAGTGCTCCCAGACAAGGGCCACAGTACACATAAAAGAAAAGTGCCCAGTATTTGCCTCAGGATTTTTTTTTTTAATGGGCATTTTTTTGGGGGGGGATTCAGGTTTTGGCCAAAGCTGTGGGTAAAAGGGTTAACAATTTATCCCTGCTTCCCTAAAGCTAACTCCAACTTGACCTACGGGAGAAACACAGTTACCCATCTGAAGCAACCAACAGGGGTGTGTGTTTTAGGGAGGGGAATATATAAATTGTATTTCTTCCACTTGAGGATACTTTCAGAGGGTAGCTGTGATGGTCTGCAGTAGAATCTTAGAGACCAGCAAGATTTTGGGGGTATGAGCTTTTGAGAATCAATGCTTCCATTTATATTTCTTCCAGTGTGTATCTGACAAAGTGAACTTTGACTCATTAAAGCTTGTACCCTGGACAAGTTCGTTGGTCTTTAAGGTGCTACTGGACCCATATCTTGTTCTTTCAGTCAGGTTCAATTTGTTATTGCAGCGTCACTTGCAGGGAGAGAGGGTAGGATTCAGCTTCCTTTCACCTGTGCAGTTCAGACCTTCCACTCCTTTCTATCTTATTGCTACAAATCTAGGCTTAAACAAATGGCTCTGCCATCATGGGCAGCCGAGTTGGTCTGAAGCAACAGAACGAAGTTTGAGTCCAGTGGCACCTTTAAGACCAGCAAAGTTTAATTCAGGGTATAAGCTTTCGGGTCCATGCACACTTGTTTCAATGTATCTGAAGAAGTATGCATGCACATGAAAACTTCTACCCCAGAATTAAACTTTGTTGGTCTTAAAGGTGCCACTGGACTCAAACTCTGTTCTTTCATCTCAACTAGTTCATCCTAAAACTCGGTCCAGTGATTGCTTTTCAAAAAGGCCTTCAGACAACAGAGCCTCATCCAGACAGTGATATGCAAGCAAAACCATACTACAGCTTTAATTGAAGAATTTTGGATAGATCACAGGACATTCCCATGGATTAAAGAAGGATTCCTGCGAAACCTTAGTCATCGGATGTTGCTGGCAACCTATGCGGTACACAGTTAAAACTGGAAGTATTTCAAAATACTAAAAACTAATATGCAAGTATCAATACATGAGTATGCTTTTATTTCTGAAAGGAATAACTACTTCTCAAAATTACTCCCTTTATAATAAAAGCTCAGCAGTACCAGAATAGTCACAGTTCCATCAGATGAGAATAAATTACATATATTAAACACAATATACATTACGAATGAAAGCTAGTCTCCATGTACAATGAATGGTGCAACTTTGGCCCCTCTCGTTTTTTATACTCCCATTTAATGCCTTGATGAGATACACTTTTACCAAAGGGGGTGAGCACCTGTGCTTAGTTGTTGATCTGGGGGGGGCCCTTCCATTTTGTGTGCCTATTTTTCATTTTTAGTATATAACAGACTTGTTCCAAAACCTGAGCAGAGGTTCTTGTGCAGAAAAGTAAATTCTTATGCATGTGGAAAGAAACTCTCTATATGTTTCATTATACCACCTGCTTGAGATTTCTCTCTGGATGGCAGTGGTGGAACGTGCCACCAAGCCACAGCCGGCTTATGGCAAGCCCTCATGGAGTTTTCAAGGCAGGAGACATTCAGAGGTGGTTTGCTATTGCCTGCTTCTGCATAGAGACCCTGGACTTCCTTGGTGGTCTCCCATCTAAGTACTAACCAGGGCCGACTTTGCTTAGCTTCCAAGAACTGATGAGATCATGCTAGTCTGGCTTATCCAGATCTATCATTTTTTGTCTCCTTGTTCACAGCATGCCAGGGGTTCAACTTGATAATGATTTTTATTTAGTAATTCTTATTCTAACTGTCCCTTCAGGGAGTTCAGGGCAGAATTCATCATTTACCCTCCTTAATTTATCCTCACAACAACTCTGTGAGGTAGGTTGGGCTGCAAGAGAGACTAGCTCAAGGTCACGCAGCAAGATCCGTGATGGGGGAGAAGGGGTTTTTGAATCCAGTTCTCCCAAATCCTAATCCAACACGCTAATCACTAAAACACACTGACTCTCCACAATCTGCATCCCTTGGAGACAGCAAAGCATTCTACTCAGGATGCTGACAAAGAGGCCTTGAGATCATGGCCTCATAAGAATATGGGCCTTCTGCATAGAGACCCTGGACTTCCTTGGTGGTCTCCCATCCAAGTACTAACCAGGGCTGACTTTGCTTAGATTCCAAGATCTGATGGGATCATGCTAGTCTGGCTTATCCAGGTCTATAATTTTTTGTCTCCTTGTTCACAGCATGCCAGGGGTTCAACTTGATAACGATTTTTATTTAGTATTTAGGTCTACTGCCTCGAAATGTGGAGGTTCCCTTTAGTCACCATGGCTAGAAGCTACTGACAGACCTATCCTCCATGGATCAGTCTAATCCCCTTTTAACGCTGCCTATGCCTGTGGCCACCCTGATATCAGAGACAAAGCAGGGTCAACCCCGGTTAGTATTTGGATGGGAGACCACCAAGGAATACCAAGATCGTGAAGCAGAGACAGGCAATGGTGAATGACCTCTCAAGACCTCTTTGCCTTGAAAACCCCTCCAGGTCACCATAAGTCAGCTGCACCTTGATGACAAAAAAAAAGCCTACAGCCACCACTACACCCCCTGGCAGTGAATTTCACATTTTAATCACTCTCTGTATAAAGAATAACTGTTTTTCTGCCTATTCCACACCCCTGTCCAACATCCAGCTTTAATGGTGTGCTGTGTTTATTTTGCTTGAGGTTCACAAAAAGTATTATAGTGACGGTTGGGGGGGGGGCTGGCAGTTAATTTCACATTTTAATCACTCTCTGTATAAAGAATAACTGTTTTTCTGCCTATTCCCCACCCCTGTCCAACATCCAGCTTTAACGGTGTGCTGTGTTTATTTTGCTTGATGTTCACAAAAGGTATTATAGTGACGGTTGGGGGGGGGGGTGTTGCAGACCACTGTGGCGAAACTCCTCTACCACCGCCTTTTTGATAACTCCACAGAGGGACTCAGGTGGGCAGCCATGTTGTTCTGAAGCAGCAGAACAAAGTTTGAGTCCAGTGGCCCCTTTAAGACCAACGAAGTTTTATTCTGGCCTGGGTATAAACTTTAGTGTGCACAAGAAAGCTTATACCGAGAAACTTTGTTGGTCTCAAAGGTGCCACTGGACTCAAACTTTGTTCCACAGAGGGAGCCAGCCTACTACTACTGCAAAGTTAAACTGGAGACCAAAGGCACCCTCAAAGTCAAAGCTTACTCCACCATCAGGTTTCAAGATCGCTGTCTGACTTCAGGAACCTTGCATCGGATGACGTGCACGTGAACGCTTATACCCAGAATTAAACGTTGTCGGTCTTAACATCGCTCGCGGTCTCAAGTTTTGTTCTGTTGCTTCAGACCAATACGGAAAACCCACGGACCTGAGTCTGACTTCAGGAAAGCCGAGGATGGAATAAACGTCGTTAGGTGCCCCTGAACTCCTGGTCCACCTTTTTTGGGGGGTGAGGGATACCCAATTCCGAGTGGCATAATAAAACTTCATTTAGGATGTCACTTCCCCACGGGCGTTGCCCCCCGACTAGCGCGGCCCCTTAAACGCTCCCCCAGACGCCTTACGCAACCCCCCCCCCGCCTCCCCCAATCCCTGCTCCTTTGCTTCCTTCCTCCCGCCGCGGGCGCCACTAAGGGACGCCTCGGGCTCCTCCAGGGCAACGGCCGCCCTCAGGCCACGACCATCGCCCGCCCACATACCGGACTCGCTTACCTCCGCCCCCGCCTCAAGGGCCAGGCGGAGGGCGAACTGCCGAGCCTCGCTCTCCTCTGCTGCCGCCGCTTCCGCCGCCCCCTCAGCCCTCCTCCGGGGCTGTCCGTTACGGTCTTCCTCCTCTGCCGCCCAGTCGCCGCTTGAAGGCGACGAGGCGCGTCTCGGGGCGACGGAGGACTCCTCCTCTTCAGCGGCGGCGCTCATGGTGGACTTCCACTGGGCCCTGAGACCTCCACAAAACAGGCGGCGGCGGCCGTGAGCGGCAAAGTCCTGCGACTGCTTCTCAGCCCCGGCGGCCGGCTGAGGCGAAGCCGCTCCTCCGGGTGTCGGTTTCCCGCAAGCAAGGTTGGGGCTCCCCCTAGTGCGGCCAGCTCAGAATGGCGCGCCCGCCTAGAATGACTCTTGAGCAATGTTCCCTCTAAGCTGTGGAATCTTGTGAGCAAAAATTCTACTTTGTGAGCTACTGGCATTAAATTTGTGAGTGAGCGATTTGGCTACTGCCTAAATTAGTTTGCTCTGGAGCCCTCCTTCCTGAGCTGAGACAAAAATGTGTGAGCTGGAGGCTAAAAATCTGTGAGCTAGCTCACACTAACTCAGCTTAGAGGGAACACTGCTCTTGAGGCGAAGGAGAGCGGCGCTTGTTGCTCTTAATGATGCTGGTGGTGGGGGGGGGTTGATTAACTCAAGGCGCCAATCCTGTACCGCGCTGAGTCATAAGAACATAAGAGAAGCCAATGGTGGATCAGGGCAATGGCCTATCCAGTCCAACACTCTGGGTCTGGCCCGTAGCTAACATGGGGCCCACGGGGCCCGGCCCCCTAGTGTTTCTTCTGGGCCCCCTCCCTCCTGGGCTGCCCCCAAAGTGCTCCAACTTACCACCTGCACTGTACTTTCATTTAATTAGCTGGCCGGCCCCCGAGGCCCCCTCCCAAAAAATTCCCTAGCTACGGGTCTGCTCTGGGTGCGTTCAGACGGGGCGTTTAAAGGGACAGGAGGCAGATGTTCGTTGTGTGAACGCGGTGAGTACACAGGTTGCAACCGGAACCCTAACCGAAGTAAAGCCCCCGTCTGAACGCACCCTCTGTGTCACACAGTGGCCAGAAATACCAGGTGCCATCAGGAGGTCCAGCAGTGGGGCCAGGACACTAGGAGCCCTCCCACTGTTGCCCCCCCCCAGCACCAAGTCTGAGAGAGTAAGGCTTGGTTCTCACATGGATGAGCTAAACTGCATTGGTTCACAGACTGCCCCTTGGTGTTAAAAAGGAAAAGACATTGCCTGCAAATAAATATTAAATAGAAGAGAAGAGTTGGATTTATACCCCGCCGTTCACTCAGATGCTGGGATCACACACACAATATAATCTACTTTCAGTCCACTTTCAATGCACTTTCCACCTGGATTTTACTGTGTAAACTGGCAAAACCCAGTTGGAAAGTGCATTGAAAGTGGATTAAGTGTGTGTATGTTCACAGTCATAGTCTCAGAGCGATTTACAATCTCCTACCCTTCCCCTCCCCACAACAGACACCCTGTGAGGTAGGTGGGGCTGAGAGAGCACTGAGAGAACTGCTCTTGAGAGAACTGTGACTGACCCAAGATGGAAGAGTAGGGAATCAAACCTGTTTTCCTAGATTGGAGTCTGCCGCTCTTAACCACTACATCAGACTTCTGTGACCTTAAGGATCAATTAGTTTAAATCCAATCTACAGGTCGTTGGATGTTGCTGAATCCCAGTCATTCACACCTGTATTTTAGTGTGTATATATATCAATGATTTGCTATAGTGTGACAACACAGTATCCAGTGATTTGTGGATACATCATAAATTTTATGCCAGCAGAATGTGTGTGTGTGTGATCCTTCAGATGCCATGAATTGGCTGTGCTGCTGTTTTATGCAGAAACTATTTTAAAATAATATAGTCTTATGGCTCCTCGAAGACTGAATTTTCATTCAGCAAAAATTTGGCCCCACTGGTGGACCTCCTGATGGCACTGGTATTTCTGGCCACTGTGTGATACAGAGTGTTGGACTGGATGGACCTTTGGCCTGATCCAACATTGGCGTCTCTTATGTTCTTAACTTAGAACCTGCTTCTTCAGTTTGGTGTAGTGGTTAAGTACACGGACTCTAATCTGGGAGAACCGGGTTTGATTCCCCACTCCTCCACTTGCACCTGCTGATGTGACCTTGGGTCAGTCACAAGCTCTGGCACAGCTGTCCTTGAAAAAGAGCAGTTTGTGTCAGAGTTCTCTCAGCCCCACCCACCTCACAGGGTGTCTGTTGTGGGGAGGGGGAGGGAAAGGAGTTTGTAAGCCGCTCTGAGACACCTTTGGGTAGTGAAGGGTGGGGTATAAATCCAATCTCTTCTCTTCTTCTTCTTCAGGTGCTATGAGTGTCAGTCAGTCAGTCTTAATGGCCCACAGGCCATTCAAAAGCAGAAAAACTCTATTATGTGTGTCCTCACTTTGTAGTCATTTTATATGAAAATGGGGGAACAGGATAAAGGGGCTGTAAAATGCAGGAGGTACCAAGTGAAATGTAACAATGTAAAAGTCAAACCAAGTCAGGAAAAAGCAGAGATGTTTATTTTGGGGGATTTAGATGACACTCACAATAGGTGGGCTAACTAGCTGCTTAACTAGTGAACATTCTCTGTATTTTTCTTGATTTTATTTAATTTTACATCAGTATGTTAAATCATTACTGTCTGCATTTCATGCCCCCTTAGTCTTGCTGTATTTTGTTTTGTTTTTACATAATAACACTGTATGGTTAGGAACCACTTAGTGCATCTAAAGAAGTCAGCTCTAGTCCACGCAAACTTCTGGAATAATATGTAGTTTGTTTGGTTTTTTTGATAAATTTATTTATTTGAGTTTATAATATAAGCCTATATCATACGTATACATCAGATCAACAAGACTACTTATACATCCTATAAAAACACTCATTTGTCTCTCAACAACACAGAACGTCATATCACTCAAACAAAGTACCTCAATAGATATCCAGTTCTTGTTCTCAACCTTGCTGACCAGCTTATGTCGAGTACAATAAACAAATTTAAATTGCTTTTAGGACATATATATTTTTAAATTCATTTTGTTTTAACTTATTTATTTTTAATATTTTCATTATATCCTATTAAATTAATTATACACATACATTTCCTATAGATCTACACCAATAACATTATACTCCCATCTTACAAGTTTGGATCTAGTTATCTTTTACCCCCAATTCAACTGCCTCATCATATACTGTGTTATCAAAATAAAATGTGGTTTCTTATTCTTAATGCAAGCCTTTCTAAACCCAGTACACACAAATAAATTATTACACAGCTACATAAATACTATTCCCTGATTCAAACATCTCGCATTTGTTTTCCAATTTTCCCCCTTAGTTTATCAGTTCATTCATTGCATTCCCAAATTATCTTATCCCTTTTTAAATATTTATTCCCCACCAAATTTTAGTTGCCTTTATACCATTTTTAATTTAATAACTCTTCTCAGTAATCAGTTAGTCATTATCTGAATTTCCCCATGATTTATACATAAAAACTTTTCTAATCACCACTAAATTACCAAAAGAAAATATCACTAACATAAACAAAACTAAAACAAAAAAGACAAAGCCACGTTATAAATATTTAAATGCATTTGAGGTCGTTCTTCCATCTTATCAGGTATTAGGTGTAGACCCATTATTCTATCTTTTTATAAAGCTTTTTCTCCTAAGCATCTGCAGTCTGTTTTTCCGCCTCAGCATATCTGCATGTCTTCTTTCTTTGTGCTTCCCTTGCTTTCCAAGCCTATCCTCTCTCTCCTTCAGCCATTCTGCGTTCCTTCCTTTGATGTTCTCTTTAAATTTCCAAGCTCGTCTTTTCCGTCTTGTAACCTTTCTATCTCTTTCTCTTTCAAACCTCGACCGTCGTTTATTATACTTTGGCAGTCCAACTTTAAGGCATGTTTCTTTTTAAAATCTCTCTCCAGCTCTCTCATTTACCACCCATTCCTTCTCGTGTGTAAATTCCACTGTTTCTTTCTTCCTTAGATTCAGTACCACTCTCCTTATCTGAATCACCTGGGGACTCTTTCAAACTAGATTGCTCCTGTTCCTCAGTCTTTTCAGTTCCTTTCTGTTTGTTGTCTAACTTTCCCAATATTTCTGCAGATACTTGTTGAACTCCCTTTTTAACCGCCTCCTTCAAGATACTCAAAAACTGTTCGATATTCAGCTCACACACCACATTGTTTTCATCAGTCTCCTCCTCGATTTCATCTCTCCCAACATTTTAAGTCACTCTCTCAAACTATTTACTTAAGTTCTCCACATGATATTCTCATTTTTCTACAAACATCAGTCATTATTCTTTTTATAAATCCTTATAAACCCAGTCCACTGCCACCAAGAATGTCTGAAATCTTCTTCCCCCCGAAAACAATAACAACACGTACTTAAGTCCCATTATTTCTCTCGGCCGTTTTCTCACTCCCATTTTGGGCTTTTCGTTTTGGGGGGCTTCTTTAAGGCTTCAATATCAAACGTACTCACACTTTCTTCTTTTTCTGTGTTGCCGTGTTGATCATTTTATGCACCTTGTGTTGGTTAAAAACAAATCCGGATGGCTGCAGCTAATCCGAGCATGACGGACGCCACGTTCTTCCCCGTCCTGCTTCGGGGCAGTTTCTGAGCACCCCCCCCCGCGTGCCAAAAACGGGGGGGGGCAAAAAAGACACCCGCTGCTCCAGCCCTCTCTCCGGGAGGGCTGGCTAAGTTCTCCCGACACTCGGGAGACTCGGTAAGAGCTGTAAGAGGTTCGGGCGGCATGGAGCAAACCGCGCTCCACCCGTCGCCACGCCGCACCGAAAACGTCCCAATATGTAGTTTGTTTTTTAAGGTGCCTCTGTCACCATCAATGGCCTGCCTCGTTGTTGGGGGAAATTAGCTGTGTGGCACTGGAGACCAGAGGGGTACAGGGATCACACACCAATCGTATACCAAGGTCTGGAACAGTAGGAATACTCCAGATTTGAAGAGTACATTAAATAGATTTTATTAAAGAATTTCCCTAATTACAAGCACACTAAACATTCAAGAAGAGCAAGCAATGCAGAACTAAGAAAGCAGAGGTGATTGATAGCGAATAGAGGGGTCAGCTATGGGGTAATACTACCTGTCCAGACATGCAGAGGTCCATGAAGAAGGGATTGTGGCCCAAACCAAAGTTTGGGGGTGAACTGCCAGTTGGCATCAGGGCAGACACACAATCTGAGGCCATGTGCCTTGACAGATATAGACATTGGAA